ATCACATGATTATCACACCAAAAATTTAACTTATCAACTAAAACGATAACCCAAGTGATGTATAACGGTGATTATCACACCCATATCACATGATTACACCGGAAAATTTAACTTATCAACCAAAACGATAACCCAAGTGATGTATAACGGTGATTATCACACCCATCTCACATGATTATCACACCCATATCACATGATTATCACACTCATGTCACATAATTACACCAAAATTTTAACTTATCAACCAAAACGATAACAGAAGTGATGTATAACGATGATTATCACATGATTATCACACTCATATCACAAGATTACACCAAAAATTTAACTTATCAACCAAAACGATAATCCAAGTGATGTATAACGGTGATTATCACACCCCTATCACATGATTATCACACCCATATCACATGATTATCACACCCATATCACATGATTATCACATGATTAGGGTTGCTTGTTGCATGCAATGGCTTCTCGATTAGGGTTCTTGGTCGATTACGGTTGTGTGTTCTTGGTTGGTCACTGTCGATCAACACCGTCGCCGTCCGTAGTTCTTGCGATTTGAAGTTAGACTTGTAATCGTAACMKTTTTGTAGATGATAATGATAAGTTTAAAAGATTTTGATTGTGTTTAATGATAAGTTTAAAAGATTMTAAYYGTTTTCTAGATAATATATCATTTCCATTATTACCCTTTAAATTTTAAATTTTTTGAATCTTTTTAAATTTTAATTTTAATTTTAAAAATCTTTTAATTTTTTTTTATCACAATATGTGGTTATTGAGTTGTTCTCGCGTTTTCATAAATCACAGGGGTTCTCGTTTGAACCCTTCCATATATATATATATATATATATATATAGAGGTTGGTTATTATACAACCCTTGTAATTTGTGCAATCAATACAACCCAATCTCAACCGTCCATTTCATTTTATTAATATGTGATTTTATAGAGGTTTTGATTATTTCCTAATATAAAGTATTAATCATAATTAATGAA